GTACGGACGAAAAGTTGTTACTCTTCAAACCAGTTAAAAATATGCAGGTGGCGCCCTTTACAAGTAGGAGCCATATTGACATCAAAATCGAATTTCTCATATCAAAAAACTCCCAGACACCAAATTTCATGCAAATATTGTTAATATGTTACTTCAGAAATTATTTGGAAAAAATCTAAACAAAAATGAAACTGCTACACCCTGTATCTCCGAAACTAAGCATTTTAGGACATACACTAATAAGAACTTTTTTACTTATTTTTATCTGCAGAATATGCTGCTGAAGTTTCCGGAATACAATTCGGACCACCCTGTATAAATGCTTCATACACAATCTGGAAATAATAATATGTAGATACCTTTCATTTAAAAAATTGAGATTGGTGAAGCAATAGCCGCGTTGAATGGGAATGGGAATGGGACAAAAGAAACCTTTGAACTTTAATATCCAGTACGAGGTAGTGCATCGCGTTGAAAACTGGAAAACCCATGCAAATTTTTAACCGTCCTAATATTGGCGCCCCTGTTAATCTTACAGCGAAGTTGTAAATAGTTTTATAAAGGTCTGCGGTATGTAGACTGCATATATTTTTAAATTAAACTGAGACTAAGGAAAACTGCATATGTTTTTAAATTGAACTGAACCGGTAACAGAGCAAAACCAGGTAAATGTCAACATACCTATGTTGTCAACCTATGATTTTATCATTGTCCAATGTAATTTGTTATGCTGTTTACACTACTATGTTACAGTACCTATGGTTAGGGTCCGTAACTTAAGGTATATTGGCATTTGCCTGCTTTTACATTGTTATCTGTTCAGTTTCAATTTAAAAATAGATGCAGTTTTTCTTAAATTAGTTAAAATCGAGTTGTTCAAAGTTGTTCAAGTTTGGCAAGTATATTCAGTATACGCAGACCTATAAAAACGTATATACGACTTTTACATGAGATTTCCTGCTACCAACGACGATGCACCACCCTGTATATTGATACTCATGAAGACAATAATAGTAAATCAATTTTTAGTAGTTGATGCCTGATGGACATTAACAAAAAATAAAAAAAAAAATAGGAAATCTGGCCTTATGTATCCATAGATTATACCTATACATACATCCATGTATTCCAAGTGAAAGTAAAAATTGTTGATATGAATATTGATATTGAATGAATATTGAACAAGAATTGAACCTTGAACTCGTTCTCATATTACAGTGACTAGACGGATCCATATAAATTTCCTATGGGAGATATGGAAATCAGTTAATCAACCATCAGCAAAGGTAATTTTCAAAATTGTCTTTAGTAAACTAAAAGGGATAACCTTGACGGTACAAAATGAATAGGGTATGCCAAAAAATGTTTGATGGTAAAAAAATTGTATTTAGATTTCTCTCAAAATTATAGTCTCTCAAAAACATGTTCCAAACTTAGTCACAGTCCAAAGAAATCGGTCACTCGATCAATAATTGTAGCCGCCAAAATGACAGAACAAAGACGATCAATGATTCATATCTCCCAGATACCAGAACGAAATGTCTAAAGATCTCAGAATATTATGTTGCGTGCAACGGAATACGGATATATTATTTATAGATGTTGCAAGATTGAAATTAATTAAGAATCAAATAAAGATAAAAGAAACAAAGACAAGAAAATGGTAACCTAGTTGAGACATTATAAAAAATGATATTTAAAGTAGATTCCAAAATAGAATTCCCATATACTAGGCATGTTCGGTCTTCCGGCATACCGGTAACAGAACCGGTACTTTTGAAATAGCCCGGTATCGGTATCGTCTTTTACAAAACCGGTATACCGAAAACCCATATACCGGACCGATTTAAACTGAAAGACCGGTTTAAATCGATCCCGAAAGATCGGTTTCAATCGATACAGAAAAATAGATTCATGATAATATGGAAATAAAAAAACCTGTATAAAACGGTTCCGGTGCCGGTTTTTGTGCAAAACTGATAGTGTTCTCCTACTCTAGGTACCGTATGATCACCAATGAAAATCACTCATCATTTTATATGTAAAATTATATGAGGAATGTAATCGATGTTCATTTCCAAGCCAACTGGACGCCGTTTTTTTCGATAATTTGGTATAATACGGCCAGGAACATGCAATGTAATTTATCTTAATGTATGTTTAAGGCATTGCTAGTCTAGTTTTGTCTAGTAATCTAGTCTTATTTTTTTAGCGCATCTAAAATTCAAGTAAAACATCTTACTCATGAATCACTCATGTATGTTATATAACTTAAAATGTCCTTAAAACTCAGGCCGATATTCAATAGCGTCTACTCTATTATTTAAAATATGTAAAATAACATCTAATTTCCGTTCCATTTATATCTCCAAGAACAGCAGCTTCCAGTACGTTTGGACAAGAAATCAAGAATATATGCCGGAAATGTGAATATAAACAATGAGTATCTTAAGTTAGATCAATAATGTTATAACGACAAGGGATAGATTTACGATACATTCAGAGAAATCTAATTTATCCCTCAATATACCGTATTTATTACGTTACCGTATTTACTTAACATTACAGACACGAACACTTTCTATTTACATTTTTTAATACGGTATTATAATGTATATGCTCATGCACTGGCACAACAACCAAAACTGTTATTTCGGTCTTTCCGATATTCCGGTTCACCTGGTCTTCCGGTCCAGTCGGTATACCCGTTCAGTATCGGTCCCACCGATCTAAATGTTTGAACCGGTCGGTATACCGGTTGTAGGACCGGTACTTCGTGATACCGGATACCGGTACTGAAATTTTAGGACCAAACATCCCTACCATATATACCGCTGGTAAGTGTGCAGGACCGCCTGGGCGCGATTTACAGGGTTTGCCTTACAGTAGTTAGACTGATTAACTTGAAGAACATCAATATTATTGATTTGCCGCATGTGGTCTTAGAGCTACTAAATCATTACATTTATACTCATATAAGTAAAGAGCTTTAAAAATCAATGTTGTTTTAAAAAAATATTCTACCTTATTTGACACTCCGGTTCTCTAATCGATAAAGATAGAATGGTATACCGGATGGTGCATCGTCGCTGGAAACATAAGAAATCGCATAAAAATTGTGAACTGTTCAGATATTGACTCCCCTGTTAATTATACAGCAAAATTATAAATAGGTTTATAAATGTATGCTTATCCTGAATATACGTGCCAAATTTGAACAATTTAGGACAAGCCGATATTAAGTAATTTATGAAAAACTGCATCTATTTTGAAATTAAAACTGAACAGATTACAATGCACAATCATGCAAATGCCAACGTACCTTAAGTTGTCATCCTATAATTTTGTCAATGTCAAATTGTATTTTCTAAACTTTAGGCACTTTTTTAAATTACCTCATTCGAACCAGCTTTGAATTACAAATATAAGTTTGGGGGACACTAACGGGACACTAACCGAGGTACGATAACGTAGTAGTGTAGACAGCACAACAAATTACATTTGTCATTGATAAAATCATAGAATGACAACTTAAGGTATGTTGATATTTAACTGGTTTTGCATTGTTACCTGTTCAGTTTTAATTTAAAAATATATGAAATTTTTCTTAAATTACTTAAAATCGGCTAGTCCAAAATTGTTCAAATTTAACAATGTGTATTTAGCATACACAGACCTTTAAAAAATCTATTTACGACTCAGTTCAAAATTTGTATGGGATTTCCTATGTTTCCAACGATGATGCACCACCCGGTATAGTCGACGGAATAGTGAATAAGTTAACCGATTAACAACTGCGCTCAATATGACTATTAAAAAACAAAAACTGATATTTTAAATATTAGTAGTCACAATCTATAATTATAATGAAAGAAGCGATAGCCTCTAAAAGAAAAATAAAAGAGGCTTTTTTAATTCAATCTAATAAAAATAAATGTATAGTTCATGCATCTGTAGATGTTAGTAATATATGGCAATTCGCTTCTTTGATTTTAAAGAACATAACATAAATAAACATAACATACGTAAAATTTAAAAATAATCATACAGAAAGTTTGGGCTTTTTGGTTTTACCTTATTAAGTAATTGTTATCAGGTAGTAATTGTTAATTTTGAAGTTTAATTTGATATAATATCATTTTAACAGAACGTCAACGGTTTCTTGTAGACGTATCTGCTTTAAAAAGTAAAGTGTTCTCGAATAGTTCAATTTAAATATTTTAAATAGTTTTTTTTCTTTATTCTTTATATTTTTTTGTTTCCGACGACGGAAAGAGAAAACTTTCCGAAACGTTAAGCATTTTTTTCTTTGTTAGGCAAATTTTTATAACTGTAAACATAACTTCTGACAAGTAGCGTCCGTTTAGGTTTAACGCCAGAAGTGTTTACAAAAAATAACTATTTTATTTTGTAGATTTTTCTTGCAGTGCAGTGGCGAAATACCCATAAAGGATTTTTTTGGAGAGATGAATTCTCCACATAGGTATAGACATTTTTTACAACCTAATCTGTATTTTTTTCAATTCGGTAACAATTATGTAAAAGCAGTATTATTGTTTCCTTTCTTCCAATGCGAATCTTATAATAGTGTTTCGAAATCTACTTGCAATATTTGTAAAATTTACCGATATTATTGTTTTAGTTAAAAATTTTATTAGGTAGAACCTAGAGTTGCAGGATATGGCGAAGAGAGCAGATCCAGAAGGAACGAATTTCTTCTGGTGAAATTCGCTACTTGGAAAGCGGTGGTTGTTAAAGACAAAACACATGACAATCGGCAATGGCACACTGTCGTTGCGGCCACGCTATCTCCGTCCTTCTAGCGTGACGCCTGCGCCGCCTATCTGCGGCCGAAAAACCGCGGCGGCCCGCGACCTTATCCCTCCAACGCCAATTTGTATATTTCCGTCCTTTATTTCGCCGAAGCCCGGCCCGCCAAAACCGCAAACAAGATGGTCTCTCTCTCGCCGCATTCGATACACTGCACTTGCTCTCTATCTCTCGTGTACCCCTTTATGTTAGCTTCGGTTTTAATCTGGCGGCGCGCCGTCTTTCTCTGGTCGCCGGAAAAGCCCCGGCACTTTTCTCTGTCGCGCTTTCCCCTGATAACTAAAGGGTTATCAAGCGCGCGAGTGCTACTGCCGCTTTTGGAAACGTGGAGCGACAAGACTACGATGCCTCGTCTTGCTCTAGCCGCACCGCCATGGGTATTTTTAGGTGGGACGTAGACCTCAGCACGCGTTTCTCGTAGTTAATCAACAACGCGCCGATAGAACTTTAGTTGAAGTCTCGGGCCGTGGCCTACCGATCGGACGCACACAACTCCGCAACTTTCAGTTTCCCCGCAGCGGCCGCTTCCACACACCTGCCGCGCGCTTATGATGTGAGTGCGTGTGCCACCGCCACCCCCCGCCCTGAAAAAGTTTCCATTCAGAAAAAGTGTTGACATGTGTTGCTTAGCAACGACAAAAACGTGCTCTGTCGCGTGCTTTTTTTAACGGGGTGCTTCCGGATTCTTTGCCTGTATACTACAAGTGGACGAAGAATGCGAGTGCGAAACCCATTTCCATGGTGCCATTTATGGATCTTCGACATGCTAATGAAAAACGAGTACCTTAATGTACCATTGAATTCAGTGTGACTGGAACAAATCCGATCCCGACATGCATCTAACCAATACCCAGACCCCGTCTAGTGGTACTGCCGCTTCGCCCGAAAGTGCAAACATTGTCAATGAAACTTATAGTAAAATGACGTCGGACATTCTAGCCGAAAGAACCCTCAACGACTTTCTAGCGGAACATCCAGGAGAGCTTGTGCGAACTGGTAGTCCGTTGTTTGTTTGTACCGTTCTACCTCCGCACTGGAGATCGAACAAAACCTTGCCTGTAGCTTTTAAAGTAGTGGCTCTTGGCGACGTGGGCGACGGTACTGTGGTGTCCGTCAAAGCCGGTAATGATGAGAATTATTGTGCGGAGTTAAGGAACTCAACGGCTGTGATGAAAAATCAAGTGGCAAAATTTAACGACTTAAGATTTGTTGGAAGAAGTGGAAGAGGTAAGAAAGGTTGTTATAACAATCATTGTAATCTTTTTTATTCCTGTTAATATTAAGCGTATATTTGTTTACTTTAAATTCACTATTTGTTTCAAATTTAAAGTAGTAAAATAATTATTGTTAAAATATTTTACTAAATTAAACCTTGTTACTAAATTAACCGAAAAAATTATATTTATTTTATTATTTTATTGAATTCAAAACTTAGATGCTGAATTTAAAGTAAACACATAGAGGTACGTTTATTATATATTTTATAATATATTGCACATACTTATCGCCTATTATATAGGAGTATAAAATTCATAAGAATATAGAGCAGAATTTAGCACTAGTATGATTAAAGAAAAAAAAAAAAAGAAAATATCAATGTAATTTTGTGCGTAGCTAAAACAATTTGATAAACAATAAAGGTATCTCATTTTAATTTAACATAATATAAGTAGTTGTAAAAATCTCTAATCGGGTATACATAATAGAGTAACGATGCATACTCAACACTAAGTGAATTATAGAAAATTTCTCCGCCAAAAGGTGAATATACATAATTGATATGTTAGAAATATTCACCTCTGGAATGTGACTATATAGCTTAAAAGTAAGTTTAAATAATAATATTATTATTATTACACCAGCGCACAATTCATGTCAAAGAGAATTTGTTAATTTCAAAAGATCGCTAGCTTTTCTATCGAAAATAATATATCCAAGAAGTGAATATTTTATTCTGACTTACTAAAACATTCATCTGAAAAACGGTTTTTATATGCTACAAAAAATATATATTATATCACTGGGATTTTATTAGATATTTTGAAATCATTTTTTACATACAGGTTATAGATGATACTATAAAGAGAACAACAAAACTAAACTTAAAATGAGGTTTACTTTTGAAATCTCGTTCATAAACTAAGATTAAAATTTGAATTTATACCAAAAACTTCTTTGGTACGACTTAAGCATCTAGAAAATTAAATATGTTTTAGCATATATTATTATTTATTTACGATTTGAGGAATATAAAATAACTCTGAAAAGATAAAATTAACCCGAGCAAATAATATCATATTTCAATATTTCAGTCCCATAGAGAGACGATGTCCCCTAAATGAAGATTAATGTAAATTAAGACATTTTCCCACGCAATACCTCGTTTCGCACCGCAAAATTTCATGCTTCTCCAGGCGCATTTTTAGAGAGAGCCCCGCCTTCTCTTTTCTTCCAGACGTTGGATTTCCTTCGTGTTCGTTCCGACGGCATTCAAATCTCCAGAAAAATTTCTTGAAGCTTGTTTGTAATAATTCTATGTAACTTTTTAGATACTGGAATTAAGTTTTCAATTTCATTTTAGATTTTTATTTTAGTAGAATAGTTTTAGACGCGTGTCCAGTGCAAAAGTAAAGTGTTTTGGTGCATTGTGGTGAATTAGTGTTTTATTTTGCTGTTGCAACAACGTCCCAACCTTAAACCCTAGACTTAATTCTTAATCATTTTTTAAAGGCTGAAATATCGGCTTTGTCAATATATGATTATTATAAAAATATTACGAGATTAAACAAATAACAAATGGTGAATACAGTATGATCGACATAAGTGGAGTTATGTTAACTTAGAAATGACTATCGGATACACTATAAGAAGTGACTATTTGTAATAGGTATTTGAGACTTATCTCAGGTACACATATGAGGATTGGAGAGTAAACCAAAATGATTCACCCTGATTTTCCCCTTAGAGTCTACTTAGACCTAGACACCACAATTTTTTTCAATATAAACACAACATCGTTACAATGCTCGTCGTTTTATCTTTGCTGTCTTGTACGAGTAGTAAAATTATGAAAAGTATGACAACATTTGTTTAGTGGATTTTTGAAAACTAGTAGACATTTCTATACATTTTAGACTTACGTGTTTAACCCTCAACTGGCGTGGTGGGGTCCAGGGAACCCCAAGCACTATTTAAACCTCTGTAAAATGTTTACGTTTAAAAATTAAGCCTCGCCGCGCCATTTACCTTTAAGTTAGGGTACCAATGCAACTGTTAAATGCGCACTTGATTTTATCAAGTATTGTTTCTACTAGCGAGGGCTAAAGTTTCCTTGTGGTCTGTGTGGCACCACCACACCAAGAACGTTACATTATTAGGATTGTGGGTAGTCTAAAAAGTGTGCCTCACTGGGAGGCTAATTTTGAGGAAGCATTAATTGAGTGGTTTGATGAACTTAAAGAGGCTTAAGTGAGATGAAGACCATCGAGACATTGATTTTTCTCCGAAGAGTAACCATAACTGCGATTCTGAATCTTTTATAATAATACCAGAATAATCAATACCAGAAAGGAAAGAGATGTGGTATATGGCAACCATACGTCAATGAAGAAATGACAAAAAACAAAAATCTCATGAATCAAATGTGCACGATCCATGTGCGGCAAATGCAGATCCTGTATTAGCATTAACTGTATTTGAAAATGTTATGTACATTCAAGGTTTGCAGTTTTGTTGAAAATAATTTATGTTTATTACTTTAGCTTCACATTTCAGTTGTTTGTACTTTTAATAATACGGTAAAATCATAAAATATATATATTTTTAATTTCTTTGGGTTTCTTAGCCAAGTTATATTTTCGTTGTCAAAAATACCTAAAAACGTGTTTTACTTTATTTCTGTGTCCGTTCTTATTAATTTGTTGAAAATTAATGAAATTGTTTGTTCACAAGTTTGAATATATTGTAAACAGTGTTAAAATAACAAGCTTTTTATGAAATCATGTATTTTAAACTGAAAAAAAATTGGGGTCCGTCGGACCCCACCACGCCATAAGCGTTACAAAAATTCACAACGCCAGTTGAGGGTTAATACCTATGTTAATTAAAAGACATATAATACAGAAGTCAAGTAACAAATCATATAATCATATTATATATTTCAATTAAAATGGATGCTTCTCTAGTTTTAAAACAAACTAACCAGCCATTTTGCAAACTAACTAAAATAACGCTGTTATTTTGAAGAAATCCGCTCATTCTTACAAAATACCGTGCAACCGTCTAGTTTACAATCTAACTGTAAATGTTACAATCTAACTTAATGTTAGTAGGTATGGAAAATATTATTTATTTATTAACTATGGGGGCAATGTGACAAATTTCATAATTATTTTAATTGTTGTTTGTAAAACCAAATTTTAAATAGATACTTGTTGAATTTGGTAACTATCAACTTATTAAACTCCTTCTTACGACGATTGTACTTCCTGAGTTACTATCCGGTTTTCCGCTATTTTTATTTTACTAAGAAGCTACGTAGACAGATTTACTTGTGCTACTACAGTGAATCCAAATATGATGTACCTAGCAGTAGGTTTACATTTCTGAAAGTTTCTGGGTCACATAGTAACAAAATTAATAGTCGTTCAATTTGTGATATCATGTTAGTCATTATATTACTAGCACAGTAGTAAATCTGTATAATTAATTTCTTAAAAATTGCAAAATACTACATAAACGTATGGTAACTAATTATCTTAAGTTGACAGCATGCACTAAATATCTATTATAATAATATGCACTACATAAATACATTTATACGTGCGCGTGCACGAGCACAAGCAACCGGTAGGAAATTAAGACATATCCTCACAATTGCACAGCAAGTAGTAGTAATAATAATAATAACTAGTTTTTATTGTAATCCGTACATAACATAAGAATCACAATATGCGAAGTTGAAGCATTCCTTCCTAACACACTAACTTACAATGTATACAAAATATACATATTCCATAATTAAATCTAAAAATCTTCAGAGTAAGAAACCCTGCTATATTTAAAGAAAAGAACTATTCCAATGAATTCTATTAAAAAAAAAAGAAAACTAGTTTGTCTGAAAATTTACAATTTAACTGTTTACTTCCAACAAAAAAATACCAATCGAAAAAGAATAAAAAAGATGAAATAAATATAATATACATATTAAGAAATGTGGTTTATTATCAGGCTTTTTGCTGCCAATTTGAAATTTTCTGGCGGGTTACTTTTTAAATTGATAGGGGATATCAATGTAAAGAGCTGATATATTGTAACTAAGAGCCTTTCAAAAAGGGTCGTTTTATGCATAGGCGATGTTAACAAGGATTTATGCCGGAGATCTAAATTGTGCGCCTCATAACTAAATTTTATTTTTTGGTACAAAAATTCCTTTTGGTACAAAAGTTTTTTAAAGATAATTTTATTAAAAAGGACTAGACTATGTAACCGTCTTTCCTGACTCATATTTAAACAATTAATTTCTTTGAGTTTTTGCTAATGCGTGCATCGTATTTTCTCAACCCAGATACAATTTTGAATACATGCTTTTATGTTATAATTGTGTTATAATAAATAAATAAAAATGTTTTAATTATTACCAAACCAAACCAAACCATAAGTTTTGATTGGCGTTACAGTGTTGACAGGTGACTAGTTTGAAATATCTACACAGACAGCGCTAAATCGAGACATTTTGGAAACAAGGTTTCCATTTATTGTCGATTCATTGTCGAAACACGAGTATCTCTCTTTTTAGATACAAATATGTTATAATGTAGATGATTTGTGTTCGACTCCATGTCAATTTTATAAAATAATGAATAAAAATTCCGCAATGTTGGCTAGTGATAGCATTTTTAACTAAAAATATATGTTTTTATCGGCTGTTCTGTTACAAGCACGCGTGGTTCTACTTACAATAATTTATATATTTTTTATTTTCAGAGCCATGATATAGAAATAAAAATAAAAATCTATATTTCGAACAAAAATATTTTGTAGCAACAAATAATCATATAAAAGGGGCATTAAAAATATGAAAGTACATTATTAAACGATGAATTTGCTTTTGCCAGACATTTTTTGTGCAAGAAAACCTAAAAACAAGGACCTTAAGATAAAAAAAATTATGGTGGGGGCCGACATTGTTGATGGTTAGGTTTTCATTTAGAAATCCACACACATTT